ATATATATATGTAGTGTTTCTTCCCAGTGACTAAGCCTTAAACAAATAGATCTTGCTGTCCAGTGATGGTCAAGAAGTCAGCACCATCTTTCACACTTCAAGAAGGATGTAGATTTCAGATGCCAGGAGCTCCTGGGTAAATACCATGCCTCAAATTTGAAATCTGGAAATCATTAACAGTGTAGATGCAAATAAATATGCCTGCAGAAGCACAAGGAGAACAACTGGCTGTGTGCATAAAAGTTCCCAGGCAAATTCAGAAAACCAGATGAAGCTATTCTTCCAATTTAGATTCAGAGGTCTGGAGAATCATAAATAACTGTCATCATACTTGGTAGTGATCTAACAATTTTCTTCCAAGTAGACCAGAGCACTTTACAAAATGGGTCTGGTTGATGACGTTCCTGAGAGGTAGCCGGCAATTACTGTTATCCACACTTTACAGACTGGGAAAGGGGAAGCCACAGATGTTACATAACTTGCCCAGTCTAGGTCTAGGTCATCTAGAATGTCCATCACTTCAGAAAAGAATTTCAGTCCTCCAGGCCTCTGAAGCACATATATATTCATGCCTGGTTGGAACATTCAGGGGAAAGACTAGGGTGATGTAAGAAAGAGACCACAACCTAGAATGGCTTAAACAAAACAGAAGTTAATTTCTGTCTCATACAACAGTCTGGCCTGTCTATTCTATCTGGGCAAGTTCTGTCCATCTTGTGCTTTCATCCCCTGAGGCTTTGTCTTCATCTGCATGGTCGAAGCTAGGTTGCTGCCACAACATTGGAGAAGTCCAAGGCAAGCAGGGCAAGCACTTCTTTTAAGCAGATGAGCTAAAAAATTGTACACATCATGTCCATTGACATTTAAGTGGTAAGATTATGGTCATATGGCCGCAGCAAGCCACAAGGGCTGCTGGGAGGTATCTCTACCTTAGTGGTCTGGAGCCTAGGAAGAATTGGAGAACAGATTTAAGGGGACAGTTAGGACCCACTGTAAAGTAGAAGGTTAGTGAAAATGAAAGAAACTCTTAAAGAGATGGATTGATACAGTAGCCACAGCAGCGGGCTCAAACATACCAAAGATCATGGAGATGGTGCAGGAGCAGGCAACGTTTCATTCTGTTATACGTTAGGTCACCATGAGTTGGAGCAGACTTGACGGCAGCTAACAACAACTAACAGAAAATAGCTGCTTGATTGGTTGAATCACCCCAATCCAATAATTTTGTTATTCATACATACAAACATAGGTATATACATACCAAAAAAAAAAAAGAACCCGTTGCTGTCTAGTTGATTCCGACTCATAAGGACCCTGTAGGACAGTGTAGAACTGCCCCATAGAGTTCCCAAGGAGCGGCTGATGGATTCGAACTGCAGCTTTTTGGTTAGCAGCTAAGCTCTTAACCACTGCGCCACCAGGGCTCCACATCCGTACATTTATTTCTCATGCAGATGTCTATTGGTAGTTCTGTGCTGGTGCTGGGATCATAGCACTAGATGAGAAAGACATGGTCTCTGTCCACATATACGTTATATTCTAGGGGGAAAGAAAAACATAAATGATGATGTCAAGTATTAGAGCAAATGTTGGCTGCTATGAAAAAGTATTTTATAATAGGGAAACCTAATTTAGCGTGTGTGAGGGAGGTTGTCCGGGATTACGTATTTTAGCATTATTTGGAAGCAATTTTGATTTTCTTGTACCTTTCATGCCTATGATGTTATGAATGTTGTCAGGCATGTTAATTTTTTATTAACAGTGTTACTGAATAGTAATTCGTACA